GTGTGCGCAAAAGTAGTCAGGTCCATTCTTGAAAGATCTACTAAACTGGTGAAATTGGTACTCTACAATTCCGCCACGAAAAATCGCCCTGCAAAATCAAAAGAAGGCGATTTTTTGTCACCCCTCTTCCATTTACAACCGGCGTTGCGAAGCTGTGTAGACGTCGTTCTTATTCTTAATTTTCCCGTGAGAAGGAAGGCCTACACGAATGTTCGCTGAAAGGGAACAAACAAATTTGCGGAGCAACAGCTTCGTACACGCAGACGGACGATCGCTAACCGAACACCTACCAGGACTCAAAACTGGGTGACACAGAGCATGGTCAGCACCTGCCTCTCTGAAAGTGTCGTCAAAACCCCAACGTTGTCTACGGGATAACCGGAACGAGACGGAAACTGGCACCAGGAAGTCCTCAGGGCTGTGTCTCGCATGTATGCGGTTGAATAGTGTGGCGTATTCAAGAGTTAACGCGAGGCCACCCTAAAACGTCGGCCGGGATATCCCGCTATTTTGTAGCCCCTGTTTGGGTGTGAACCATTGGCAAGACAAAAGACTCACTAAGCTGCTTTAGCTAACCCTAAGCCTAAGCCTAAGCCTAAGCCTAAGCCTAAGCCTAACTAACCTGCTTGGGGTTTCGGTGGTAGTCGTATCCGCCCTCTGGGTTTGAGACATGCTCATGCTCATCGCCGGAGAGTCCGACACAAGACTCATAAGGCTCGGCTCCCCTTCCTGTTATCGGTATCGTTGTCGGTGTCGATTCGATATCGTTGTCGTCGCCATTCGTTGTCGCCGATGCCATAGATAACCGCAAAAAGGACATTAGAGAGTTTCGGAAAACAGGGGTGGGTAGCGGGGGTGCTCGGGTTAGTGCTACGGGGAGTCAAGCAAGCGCGAGATAAGGATAATTCTTTCGACTGAAAGTCTGCCTGATATGACACGCTTGACGAAATCAACTACCGCCCCGCGGCAGAGATAAGCATACTGTAACCTCTAGTTACTGGGAGCACGGATCAGAGCGTTCTCTCATGTGCTGTGCATGCATGCTACTGAGGTCGTCGGAGGAATGAGCAGCTCGAGTGCTCATTAACCCCGGCGGAACGGCATCTACCGTATGCATAGGTGACGCAAGACGCGGCGTACAGGACCTGGAGTGTGGGCTCAGCGAAGCCTACCTGTAGCACGGGCTCATCGGAGACATGAGGAGTGAGCTGGCGGCGTGATTCTTTGGTAGAGGGAGTTTAAAGAAGAAGATAAACGGTCGCTGTTGCTTTGCCGAGAGAGGAGAACAGAATCTAACCGAAGCAACCAAGGATAAGGTCTAGATGAGTACGGAACGTTGAAAGAAGGAAGAGGGTTCAAGGAGTACCTACATGGACCAAAGGATGCAGGGACAGCAGATAGTGGCGGCCCCAAAACTGGCGAGGTTGGAACCGTCTCATCGAGAGCTTTCCGAACATGTACCATTCGATGTATTACATCCTCCTCTTCGTCGTGGAGTAATCGGCCGTAATCGTTTTTTTTTTTGGGGGGGGGGGGGATCTTACGTCAGCGGCGCTACCTGCGTCTTCGTGAAGTAATCGAGCGTCGACAACAGGCCCGGGGGGTGTTATATCTAACGTCACCTACGGGGTATCTGCTGTCTACAGCAGTTCGCTCTCTCACCAGAGGACCGTGAAGAGAGGTGAGCGGGGCGTCTTCGATGAGGGAGAACGCCGCGCCGTCGATGACGAGGCAGCGCGGCTTGCAGGACTGCCCGTTCTTCTTGCAGGCGGCCATGTCGGCGCAGTACCGCTCGAACTCCGTCACGAGGCGGTTCTTGACCGCCGTCGGTGTGGGACACGTCTGCGCATAACGAAGTAGAGGTCGATCAACAAACAGGGACTAGGGTTACTCAGGCTAAGGGCTACCTACGGTGAGAAGATGAACAACAAAAGTCGATCAACAAAAGCAGGGGGTAGTGAAAGACGCACAGCGACGTCCATCAAACAAACAGGGATTAGGGTTCTCAGGTTATCAGGCTAAGAAGGTGCACAACAAAGTTCATCAACAAACAGGGTTAGGGTCCTCAGGCCAAGGGCGACGGCGAGGATGCACAACAAAGTTCATCAACAAACACGAGTTAGGGTACTCAGGCTACCTACCGCCTACGGTGGTAGCAGGGGTATCGGAGTGGGACACGTCTGCGAAAGACGCGCATCAAAGTCGATCAACGAACAAGGTGAGCGTGAACTCATGTTTAGGGCTACAGTAGTGGTACCAGGGGTATACTTTGTCTGCAGGCTGCCAACACCAGCACCTAAAGTCAGGTTGACAACGTATTCGTGGAGACCAACAGCAACATCGACAACGAAAACAGCAATAAAAACACCACCACCACCACCACCACCACCACCACCAACAACAACAACAACAACAACAACAGCAACAACAACAACGAGAAAAAAACAAACCTTGGTGTTGATGATGCATCGGTCCATCCTATCCTCCGCCCACAGCAGCTGGCACGCCACCCCGATGTTGATGGCCGTCTCCTCCTTATCCCCCGTGATAACCCACACCACCATGCCCCCCCTTACCATCTTCTCGATCGTCTCTCCCACACCCGTCTGGAGCTTGTCTTCGATCGCCGTGCCTCCGATCAACGTCAAGTCCTGCAGAGCAACCCCAAAAAAAAAGCCCTCAGTGGAACACCGCAAAGATGATAAGGTTGGAGGAGACACACTTTTGCAAAGATACGAAAAACGGATAGTCCACTCCTTTCGAATGTAGCCTATCTCGAACAAGTAGTCTTTCAGTGATTGGATGTGTGTGTGTTTTCTAGAAACACGCCTGTTTCAACGATAAGCTGAACAAACGTCACTTCATGCGTGTGCAAGTCTTTTGCCGAGGACGCTTCTTTCTATACGAACTTCATGGTAATATACGATGTGCTCAGTATACAAGTTGTAGCAGGCGACGCGACCGATGATAACCATTCTGACCTTGTCCGGCAAGGAAGATAAGCGGAGGAACTTCTCAACACTTTTCGCCTTGCAGAAAGCAACCAAGAAGGCCGAGCCCTCGCGAACGAAGCGCCTTCTCACTCTACGTGGACTACACACCGAACTAATAACTAACTTTTCTGCGTGGCTAACGACCGCGGTCCCTCAGCCACAGCAAGCGGGGCCACGGGGACACGCGCACACAGAGCCTGTTGCGAACACAAATACAGCAGAGGTCCCTGTCTAGTGTCGGTACGTACTTGCCCATAAAAATTACCGGCACTACCCGGACACCGGCTCATTTCAAAGCACAGAATGGCACACGGTAATTTAGTGTGTGCCCGCCGAAAACACCGGGGCTATACCGGGCCGGCCCCCCACTGCGCAACGAGTGTTGCGTTTCAGTCGTCTCATCTTTGTTGCTCGAAACAGACTCTGCCCTGCCCGCGGCCCGCTGCAACTGGAGAACGAGAAGAACACAAAAAAGAGTCACGCACACTGGTCCACGTAAAACCCACCCTCTCTGCCTGGGCCATGAGATCGTCGATTCTGTTAGGCCTGCCGGCTTGCTGTTCCGCCACCTCCGTCAGGTCGTTGATCGCCGTGTCATACGCCTTCCACAAAACAAATAAAACGTTGATGATGTTGTCTTCACATTGAAAACCGTTCCGTTATCTCTATCCACTACCTTCCATCTGCCCGAAATGATATAACACTTGGACAACGAACAAAAAAAGAAGCAGGTATGACACATCGAAAACAACGACACCGAGAAAAAGTACAAGCAGGCATGACACATCGAGAAGAAAAACACCGAACAAAAAGTATAAGCAGGCATGACACATCGAAAAAACAACCATCCAAAAAAAGGTAGAGCAGGCATGACAACTCGAAAAAACAAACACCGAAAAAAAAAGAAGCAAGCATGACGCATCGAAACAAAAAACAAAAAACGGCAAGGCCATCAAAAACAAAAAAAACACGTCTAAAAAAAAACAAAAACCGACAAGAATGACGACGAAGAGAAAGGCAGTTAATCACACCTCGTCCCAAGCGTCGAAGTCGTCTTCCGGGAAGTCCTTGACCCCCACCATGAGCGTGCGTAGCCCCTCCAGCGCAAAGCCTTCCAGGTGCTCCATCGTTGTGTCCAGCATCTCCTGCCAAGGTTTAACGTTTTCGTTTTTCTTGTATCAGTACCGCAGGAGGGGTGGGTTGGGTAGGGGGGCTCACGGAGAGGAACTCTTCTGTGTGGTCACTGGGTGGAGTAAACGGCACAAGTGCTGTGAGCGCTGACATGAAGTCAAGACAAGAGACAAAAAAAAAAAGTGCAAAAATGTTTGAAAAAACGTACCACACGAGAGATACCGAGACTACCTATGGTATCACTTGAATAGAGGATAGACTGCGGGCACTAGCACAGGTAAGGAGCTGTGTACCTACAGTGCGCGTCGGACCTCCTGCCGCCTAGTGTTGACTCCTACAGCACACCCGGCACTTTTCTTCTTTCGAGATTGCACCTCCATCTAAAAAAAAAAGTGGCCCGGTGCATGAAAGTAATTCGCAATGAAAAACGAAACATTTCTACCGCCTGGCGTACCTGTGTACTAAATCGAATAACAAAACGCATCGGTTGAAAGCTTTATCGACAGGCAACGACGTACTACCGTGCTCCTCATGGATGATGAGCATAAGCTAGCTCGTTACCTTCGGAGTGTCCCCCCTGAGCAACGGCACCATGGTGGTGTCGGCCCCCTTAGCGAGTACCTTAACCTTGCCGTCTGGCCCTCGGACGACCACGGACATCCTCTTCCGCACGCTGTCATTGGTCGGGGCAAGGGAGGAAATCAATTGAAACAATCGTGGAAACAATCGTGATTGATTGATTGGTAGGGAGAAAGTTATCCTCCTCTTCCGCACGCTGTCATTGGTTGGGCCAGGAGTGGTTGGGAGCAGGAGGAGATAAAAATGAAGCGATAGCGATTGATGGATTGGTCGGGAGAAAGTTATCCTCTTCCGCACGCTGTCATTGGTTGGGGCAAGACAAAACAAATGTGAAACGAAGCGATCACGGTTGATTGAGTGGCAGGGAAAAAAACGAGAATTTCGAACGACCTCAGATATACGCCCATGATTGGTGTAAAAACATATCGGCGACGGCGTTCTCGACCCTCTTCTTTTTGCGACTGCCGAGAGGCTGAGCTGCGAACGGCGCGACAAGTCTTGCACAACCAGCGCATTCGTTCACCTGTTGAACCCGAGAATTCGCAGGACTTCGTACCTCTCCTTCTTCGAATCACCCGAGGGCGAGAGCGGGGAGGGCATCTGAAAAAGAAAAAACACGCGCGTACGCATGCATGGACAAGACCGTACCAGAGATGTACTGCTCTTTTCGTTCGATGTGGCCCTTCAGAGCCTAAACATGTGGGGTTGTTCAAGCTTGGACTACAACGTCACAGCTGGCAGTCAGCTCTTCGAGTGATATTTTTCATGCTGCGCCTCCCCTTGATGCACTGCCATGCTCTTGCAAGCCTACTCAAGAGGGAACCCTTATATATATGTAGCGTGCAGTAGAGGTAGGATACTCAACAGCGGCCTCTTCTTCTAACTGGGTCCTTTTTTCGTCATTTTTGTAGCACTTCTCTCTCTCTCCTTGTGTCGCTTTCCACTCCATCCCCTCGGTCTAACGCCATTTTCTTTTTCCCCCCTCGTTCTCTCGCATTGCACCATGTGCCACCTTCGACGACCGTCATTTAACACGCATGTTCGGCTCGCCACATCATGCAAACGAACGTTACATTTCATCCATCGTGAACACTGCCCAAGAAGACGACGAAGTCAGCGACGACAACAAAAACCGCTATAGCAGTAGTGGTGCAAGTGTAAGGCCGGTGCGATACAGCCGATTTCAAAGGCATTACAGCTCACAACCGACATTATTCAGAGTATGAAACAACTTGAATAATCCATCTGTGCCGGACGATTTCACCGGCATTATACCAGGACCACTACTGTACCGTGTTACGAAAAAACCGTCACCGCAACCGCAACGCTTTACCGGTGTCCGACGGATAACCGCCGTGGTGTCGATCCTCTCCGTGAACTCGACGCCGAAGTACTTGGCTCCCAAGACAAGAGCCTCGTCATCGGGGCTAGACGCTGACAGCACGATCTGTGGCAAGGCAAAGACACGGTGAAAGTGATCACGGCTAGAGTATCGTCCGCCGCGGCAGAGGCGAGTCCTTCGGTGGTAGGAGAGGGTTCACAGCTGCACTTGTCGCTGCCGGTCTCTAGCTCGAGAAAATGATGCAAGATGCCGTCGGACAGAGTTTAGAGCATAAAAACCAAGGAAGTCGTAACGCGAAGCTGTTTTGAAGCAGGAAATGACAGAACTGAGCTACAGCAGTAGCTACGCTTGCTTGCTTTCCTTTCGGATTGAAAACAACTTGACCGCAAGAAGAACTTCATCACGGCACCCAAAGTCATGAACCAAGCAAGAAGCTGTGGTGCCGTTGCCCCATGTTTGAGGCACCCAAACACCACCACCACAACTCTCGAACCGCCACCACCACAACTCCCGAACCGACACCACCACAACTCCCGAACCGACACCACCACAACTCCCGAACCGACACCACCACAACTCCCGAACCGACAGCACCACCACCACAACTCCCGAACCGACACCACCAACAACCACAACTCCCGAACCGACACCACCACCACCACAACTCTCGAACCGACACCACCACCACCACAACTCTCGAACCGACACCACCACATCCAACACCAGCAGACGCCACAGCCACATCCAACCACAACAACGACGACAACAACCACAACAACAAGAACAAGCAGCCGCAATGGCAAGGGCAACGACAAACAGGTCAACTTGGCACCCACCTCATCACTGTCGTTCGGCCGCTCGGGGATGACCGTGTGGCAGAGGGCCAACACCGTCAAGAACTCCGTCAGCGGGCCGGTACCGTCTCCACCATCCGCCTTCCGTGTAAAAAAATTACAAACCATGGAACGCAAATAAATACCCCAAGACTTGTCAGGAGTTCGCACATATCATCAGGCGTTAGTGTAACCCCGGGCCATCGCAGGGTTGCCGACGTACAAGACAAAACGACTGACCTGGGGAATATATACCCCACGAACAACAAAAAAAACAAAGGGCTGTACTCTCAATACAAAATAAAAGAGAAAAAGCGTTCGAACAAAAATTCACTAGATACAATAAAGAAGACATGAAAAAAATAGAACAAATTTCACTATTACAGAAAAAGAGAAAAAGAGTTTTATAAAAACATGCACAACAGAAAAAAGAAAAAGTATAAAAAAAAATTGCATCAGAGAAAATATTCTAGTTGTACATTAGCAAAAAAGAACGCACCTCTGCCTGAAGATCTCGAAACATGACGGGGTCGTAAAAGTTGACGTGGGGGGCTGCGAAATCTTGCGCCATTTGCTCCGCCGACAGCTCTTCCTGTGAAAGCTCAACACCCTTGAGCTGGTTCGCAAACCGGTGAATTTCGTGTGAGAAATATGAGAAAGGAGGGGGGGGGGGGGGGGGGACCCCAAATCGGGGATGCCCCAATCCTTAAAACATTGACCCCCCAACCCCACAAACCCGGGGCGGGGGTGGGGGGGGGGGGGTTTTTGGAAAACCCAGGGGGAAACCTTTTCAAAATTGATTTGCCCCCCCCCAAAGGCGGGCGGGGAAAAAAGAAAACTCCGGGTTTCCTCGGCCCCCGGGAACCCTTCCAAGGGGGGTACAAAAACCCCGCCTTATCCTTTTTTTTTCGGAAAAAAAAACAAAAAACCCAGGGGTGATTTTTTTATTTTTTTTGGGGGGGAAGGGGGGCTTTTTTTAATTTTCAGGGGATAAAAGGAAACCCCCCCCAAAAAAAAAGGGGG